GGAGGATCAGGTGCTGATTTTTTCAGGTTTCTTGGTTCTGGGCTGAACTTAAAACAAGTCTCAAAGATCTCTCGTGAAAAAAGCCCCATCTAGTGAAAAAGATCTCCTGAAGTAGAGGGAAGCAAAAGCAAGTCCTGTGAGGGCTACCTTCCTTAATCCCTCCTGAGTGAGATGCTGACCTTATGCTGGAGCTGAAGCCATAAGCCTTAGCAAGAAGCAGGTCCTCAGTGGTGGACTCAACACTGTGAACGTGTCTGTCACCACTGATAGACATGAAGGGAAGGGATTTGGACATATGAGATAGTGCCTTAGCTTCCTCCAGGCCTCCCCTGGGTGATGGTGACCCCAAAGGGGGCATTTTTGAATCTCGCGCTCTATGAAGGTAATAGTGCAACAGCAGGGAAGTTATAGAGGGCTTTTGGCACAACAAGTGGGCTTATCCTTTTGATGACAACACCCCCAAGATGGGGCTTTGTAGGGTACTGCATCCCTATGTGTGATGGTGGCTCAGTGGGTGGGTGCTCTGGGGGCCTCCCACTCTGGATAAGTATATTCAGAGGGGAGGCTTTCCCCAGGCTTACATTATATGGGAAGCCACAATAGATTGGTTCTGCTAAAGGCCCTCAATGTGCTTGAACCATCCATGCTCCAGAAGGAGAAGGAAGGGAAGTCAGCTATGAAAGCAGAGTTTACTGGCACCCCGTGGAGCCTGGGACTTATTGTCTTTTAATCTTTTTCATTTAATATTTCAGAATAATTTTCAGATTGTAAACTAACAACAGATTCTAGCTGCCTACAGATGTTATCACACAATCAGAAATGCTGAGAAATGATTCTGACCCTTCAGGTTTATAAGCATGCACTACTATCTGGATGGACATGAAGGACCAGCCTTCTGCTTTTTTACTGAAGACAAAGACAGTTTGCTACTGATGTCATTGAGGCAGGAACAGACCCTAAATCTGATTAATTTAATAAAAATATGGGGAAAACTGGAATTTAGAGTCAGAATCTCTCTCTCTCTTTTCTATGGGAATTGTTCCCTGGGAAATGTTCTGGAAGTGTTCTCGTGTTTAGACCAGGGGACTGGAAGCCATTCCCAGTTCTGCACACTGACTCACTGACACCATCTGTAAACTGGGTATTATCCTGCCCATATTTTGGCTAAGTATTGTTGTTAGTAGTTACTATCTTCTCTCATAGGGGTATTATGAGTAGAGCTAGGCAAAAGTTTTGAATCCAAACTTTTTTCAGTGAAAAAAAGCAGATTCAATCACACTGAAATTCATGTCAGTTTTGCCAAATTGTTCCTTTTGAAACCTCAGCCCCAAAATTGAAACATTATGTGTTGACACTTTTTAATGAAACATTTTGATTTTTCCATTCAAAGAAACTTTTTGTTTAGAAATTTCCTTTAATTGTATTTTAAAAGAATAAAAATAGTTTAAAATGCTCAAAATTGAATTCATTTTTTTTCAACTTTTCAGATCATTTGAAAATCTCAACAACAAAAAAGAAGGTTTTGGTTCAACCTGAAATGTAATTTTTTCTTCAGAATTGGCAGCAAACTGAAAAATCTATAATACCCGGCTGTAATTGTGAGACTCAGCTAAATTTTAATTTAATGCACCCTGAGATCCTCAGAGGAAAGGAGAAATAAAAGTGCAAGTTGTAGATCTGGCTTCTGTTTATGAGACTTTAATAATATCATGAGATTATAATAAAAGTGACTAAGGAAAACTTTTATCCTGATCAACATTCCTTGTCCTAATGAATATTACCAGTGGTTTATTATTCATATGATCACAGTTGTATGAAGCCTGCTTTTGAGAGACCAATGCCATGTTCATCATTTGAAGAGGCATGACAAACAAACAATACAGGACATTAAATTATAACTAGGAAAGCTTTAGTAAGAGAATATAATTAATGCTGCTCTCTTCAATTCCCAAAGGCAGAGGATTTTCAATATTTTACAGGGAGTGTGAAAAAAAGTGATGGGAATAAATCAGGACTTCTTGAGATGTGTTAGTCTCAAAGCACTAGAATTGTTGTGTTAAACCTGCTGTATTCAGCAGCTGTTAGTTCCAAATGCAGCACTGCTGGCCAGATAGAATTTTCAAGTTCTGTCAATAAGTATCTAGCATTAAATATGCCACAAAGATGGGTAAATTTATCATATGCTTTGTGCCAGGAGCACAAGCCACTAATAGTGATGAACAGATGGCCAGTGGAGAGGCTGAGATACCCAAGCTTCAACCCATTAACCTTTGGAACCTAAATATTATAACAGCTGGGAATACCTTTCTCCCCTAAAATAGGGTGAAAAATTACCACTTTCAGCATATTAGCACTCTCTCCAAATTAACAAGGATAGCAAGTGATATGATTCTACTCTGGGACACTATTTGCTCTGCAGAAGGTGGTCCCATTCTTAAAGACTAAATTGAATGTCAGTCGATAGCCAGCTGGCCTAGTAGTCAGGCAGTAGCTCCACAGTACTTCCTGTCCTGGTCATTCTTGAAGGGGCTTCATCCAGGTCATATGCAGTGGGCCTCAATCCCTCCTGAGTGTTTCTTCCCCTCCTCTTAGTGTTCTGTCATAGCAGAAGTACAGGGGAGCAAGGTTAGGGGACCCAAGTCCCCCCACTCCACTGGGTTCCAACCCAGACCCCCAGAGAAGCATTACAGTGTCTGGACCACTCGTTGGTCCACCCCAAGTTATACTATCCCCTGGGTTGCTTCCTGTCGGGCTGTGTCTCCTCTGTTTGAGGCATGGTCACAGACTTAGAAATAGCCACTTAATTTGCCAGTGGGACAATGTCCCATTCTTTGTAGTCTTTTGGGAGTTTTCAACTCCCAAAGAGAGGGGGAGAATCTGGATCACCGCTTCCCGGAAAGTCTTAACAATGCTGTAGCCACTCCTCATAGCACCAGGCACCAGCCTCACTTCCTGGTGCAGCCTGTAGCTCCTTTCCCACTTCCCCTGGGCTACCAGTTTCCTTTTAAGCTATCCCTCCACCTAGGGCATGCCCTGCAGCAGCTGGGGAATGGGGCATCCCAAGCCCACTGCTGTCTGTGCCTTGCCCTGGTTTAGTGTGGGGTTGGATGATCGAGATGCTAAAGGAGCATTCAAGGAAGATAAGGCCACTGTGGAGAAACTAAATGAATTCTTTGCATTGGTCTTCACAGCTGAGGATGTGAGGGAGATTCCCAAACCTGAGCCATTCTTTTTAGGTGACAGATCTGAGGAACTGTACCAGATTGAGGTGTCGTCAGAAGAGATTTTGGAACAAATTGATAAACTAAAGAGTAATAAGTCAACAGGACCAGATGGTATTTACCCAAGAGTTCTGAAGGAACACAAATGTGAAATTGCAGAACTACTAACTGTAGTCTGTAACCTATCATTTAAATCAGTTTCTGTACCAAATGACTGGAGGATAGCTAATGTGACGCCAATTTTTAAAAAGGGCTCCAGAGGTGATCCCGGCAATTACAGGCTGGTAAGTCTGACTTCAGTTCCGGAGAAACTGGTTGAAACTATAGTAACAAACACACAGATGAACATAATTTGTTGGGGAAGAGTCAACATGGTTTTTGTAAAGGGAAATCATGCCTCACCAATCTACTAGACTTCTTTGAGGGGGTCAACAAGCATGTGAACAAAGGGGATCCAGTGGATATAGTGTACTTAGATTTTCAGAAAGCCTTTGACAAGATCCCTCACCAAAGGCTCTTAAGCAAAGTAAGTTGTCATGGGATAAGAAGGAAGGTCCTCTCATGGATTAGTAACTGGGTAAAATATAGGAAACAAAGGGTAGGAATAAATGGTCAGTTTTCAGAATGGATAGAGGTAAATAGTGGTGTCTCCCAGGGGTGTCTGCTGGGCCCAGTCCTATTTAATATATTCATAAATGATCTGGGAAAAGGGATAAACAGTGAAGTGGCAAAATTTGCAGATAATACAAAATTGCTCAAGATAGTTAAGTCCCAGGCAGACTGCGAAGAACTACAAAAGGATCTCTCAAAACTGGGTGACTGGGCAACAAAATGGCAGATGAAATTCAATGTTGATAAATGCAAAATAACGTACATTGGAAAACATAATCCCAACTATAAGACGGTATTTTCATCTTGGAAAAGAGACGACTAACGGGGGATATAATAGAGGTCTATAAAATCATGACTGATGTGGAGAAAGTAAATAAGGAAGTGTTATTTACTCCTTCTCATAACACAAGAACTAAGGGTCCCCAAATGAAATTATTTGGCAGCAGTTTTAAAACAAACAAAAGGAAGTATTTTTTCACATAACGCATAGTCAACCTGTGGAACTTCTTGTCAGAGGATGTTGTGAAGGCCAAGAGTGTAATAGGGTTAAAAAAAGAACTAGATAAGTTCATGGACGATAGATCCATCAATGGCTACTAGCCAGGATGGACAGGGATGGTGTCCCTAGCCTCTGTTTGCCAGAATCTGGGAATGGGCAATAGGGGATGGATCACTTGGCCATTACCTGTTCTGTTCATTCCCTCTGGAGCACCTGGCATTGGCCACTGTCAGAAGACAGAATACTGGGCTAGATGGACCTTTGGTCCGAATAAGTATTGCCATTTTTATGTTCTGTAAATCCCATCACAGTAAGAAATCTTTATCTACTTCCTAATTAATATACTTACCCCCGGGATTCTTTCATTTCATTAAAATAGGAATTAGGTATCTGGATAGCTAAGAAAGAGTTTTCTAATTGTTTGTATTTGCATTACAGTTTATGCCACTTAATTCAAGTTAATTTTTTTAAGTAAATAAGAAACACTCGTGCCCATGAGGCTGTAAAACAGTATCGTTCTGTTTTAGGGTTTTCTATATAACTCCTTTTCTGGAACTTTTTGCATTCTAGATAAAGACAGACAGACTGCTTTCCCCAGAGCCATACTTTACACGATATCCTTACAAACGTGATCCTTTCATTTGTAGAACAGTTTGATTCATACTCACTGTTTCCTTCTGCATTCAATGGCTCTATCTATCCTGAACTCAGGTAAACTGATGAATCCTTCTGCTTTTTCATCCTATCACAAGAGAAGAGGAAGTGCAGGTGAAGATGAGTACATTATTGAGGAAGAGAGAAACGGGAGATGAAAACTGGACAGCTGTGACTTATGGTCAAAAGCCAGGTCAAGTCCAATTAATAAAGATAAAGAATACATTGTTCCCACACTGTTAATTCATGAAGATAGTTTACTTAAACATATGTTGTTGACAGTTTTTTATAAAGTGACCGACTTGTCAGTTCACTAACACCAGTAACCACAGTAACACCAGTCCTTCTGTGTTAAAGACAATACAAAGCACATTCAAATGTGAAAATTACTTTCAACATCATAGCAGGAATCTGAACCCATTTGTTTAAAGAGTATATTACATCTTAACAGTTATTGTATTGCGGACACCTCCCTTCCTAATGGTGACTGAAAACATTACTGTGGCAATTTCAACAATTGTTTGCATGGAAAAGTAATATTAGGAAAATATTTCATGTAATTTTCATTTCCTTAAATGTCATTTAACAGTGGAAGAAGACAACCGGCACAATATGACAGGCCAGCTTTCTGAAGACCACCCGTAAGTGCTGCGCAGATCACTGGTGGTTTACGTACCACACAGCCTGGGAACCACTGGCACACATAAGGAGTACCATCTGACATTTGCAGACACATCAATAAATATATTGGTATACACACAACACAAGCATACACTCACACTGTTTTATTATTACCCCCAACATAATCATACATACAAGCATACATTCAAACAGTTTTATTATTGCCCTCAGCATAATCTAAGAAAATAAGTCTCCATGACTCAAATCAACTGTTCCTCTGAGTCAGGTTTTCACTTTGGTTTAATTTTTAGACTGTAGGGATGAACTCATCCCAGGTGTAACTCATGGCTGAATTTCCCCACACTGTTGATAGTAGGGCAAGATGACAGCGAACATCTTGTTAACCTAATGAATAACAAATATGGAAAAGAAGTATTGTTTATTTCTGACACTTGTAGTTCTTGAAGAATGCCATGTAACTATTTTATTGTTAGACTTGCACATAGATGATTGAAGACTTCAACTGAATCATTGCAGCTGAATTTTTTCCCATCCAGACCCATGTATCACAGACCCATGTCCAAGTAAACTCTGCGTATTTAACTACTAATTGGTAAATATTAGCTTCCTTTATTTAAAAAGTAGCAAAATTTAATTTAGGCTGTTTTTTCTTTCTTTCCAGTGTAGCATATACTTACATTCTGGTTTGTGTACCAGTACAATGAAGAATCCTTCAGAATAAACCAGTATTTTTTCCATTTCTGTGTAAAGTATCCTTTGGCATCTTTTTTCTTCCACAGCCAGCCCTCACAATCTCCATGGCCCAAGTCTTTGCAGGAAATCCGTCTCCTGCTCCCACTAGTCAGAGAGCTCCCTGTAAATGGGAAGATAACATGAGAGACTGAGGGATCCTATTGCTACAAAAATAAATACAATAACTTACTTTTTAAAACTAGTGATGAGCCAAAACAGGAACCTCTAAACTGAAACCCTTCAAATTTCAGGGTGGAGGGTGGTTCAGATTATAATTCCTGAATCTAGACATGTCCTATGATTTTGGTTTCCAGATGGATGCAAAGATAGAAGAGGCGTGGTTTGTAATTCTGGTTTGGATTGAATAAAATCTTATCCAATTATTTATTCTCAAAGGAGTTCTGCCATATGGGGCCAAAATCTCATTAAAATAGTTTGTGATATTTTGGCACCATCAAATCCAAACCAAAAACCTAGTCCTGATTTGGTCTTTAAGTGGCATAAACTTAAATCTTGATCCAAATCCAAACACCACTTCCTCAGTCCGTTTTTAGCTCTTAATTTTAGCTGCCCTAAAATAAGTCAAATTCTGGTAAGGAAGTTTATTGTCAAGAAAAAAGGGAGTATTATCATTCCATAAGAATCATGGAGCAGTATATGCCCACAATACTTGTACTCTGATTTTAATTCATCAACAATATTTTAGATTTACTGAACTTAGTTTAAATGCTCTGTAACAGGAAAATACTTTGTCTTCATTACTTCAACACATCCTAGTTGATAACCCTGAAATGTCACTCTGTCTTACAGATATCACTATCAAACAGAATTTTTTCTTAATATTGTATAATTTTTCCTTAAAAGCTTACTGCAAAGTTAATTAAAACATTAGATGTTTTACTGTGAAAAATCAAGTTTACATTGTTACATACATTATATTTGTCTGACAGCTGTGAAGCAGTGCCAGAAGGTTAGATCACATTAAATTACTACCCTTTTCTTGATAGTATTCCATTGATCTTAACATTTTCTTCTTTTCAAAAGAAGATACTGCATCCTGCATACAGCTTTAGAAATACTATAAATTTATTGACTGAGTAAAGGAGAAGTCTTTAGGCAGTGAGTTAAAACTGCGAACAGAATAAAAAGACCAGTTTGCATGTACTATGTATAAATTATACCAGATTATAGAATGACAAAAGAAGTGCCTTTTTATTTTATAACTTTTTATCAAAAGATTGTTTTCTTGATATTCACAAATTGTTTGTTTTTTTAAAGAATAAAGTGGTAAGAAATGGCATAATATATGTCTTTCTGCCACTGAAATCAAGGGAACTTTTAACACTGATTTTAATGGGATAACAGGTCCACAGTACGGTCCCCTTGAGTATTTACAAGCAAACTTGTAGATAAATGTATATGATATCTGGAAATACATGAATTAGGTCTGATCCCGACAGTGGATCTGTATACGTGACCCACACTCCTCCCATTGCCATAATAGGGCCTTCATTTTCTAAAGCCATAATAGGGCCTTCATTTTCTAAATTTTGAATATTTATCAACTGAAATGGTTTACCTTTTGACCATTTTTTGGTTTTTACCCTCAGGGAAGCGTAGTGGAAAGACTATAAGGAGAGAAAAAAATATGGATGAGTACCAGTCCATGCAGTATTAAACCATGTTATTCTGTTGATATACAGTAATCTCTTCATTAATGATTGTCTGTGTCCATGATCTTCCTATCTTTGCCATTTCAAGCACGAGAAAATCTTAATTTTTAATAATCATATTATAAAATATTGTAATAAAAGTAACACAAATTGCAGTTATTAGGCAGCAAAAAACGGTAGTAATAATTGGTGGTACTGAGCAATCACAATAATCTCCTTTGGTGTTATTTTGTTTTATAATAATAGGAGGATAAAAACAAACAACAAACAAGCAGAACAATGCAATGCTAAATAAATAAACTAACATCTGTATTTTCACAGAGCTACCTGGAGTATTTAGCCACATGCTTCCCTATCAAGTCAACAGGAGCTCTTGACTGAATCCTTATGAAGTAGTGAGGAGATAATTTCATGGGGGTTTCACAGGCATTATATAATAACAAAAAGTCACATAATCATTCATTTTAAGAATAAATTAAACTGTAACACACAACTAATCAATTCAAGGGGAAATTTCTGTCCTGAATCTTATAAAGTTAATATGTGACTTTAGTCTTTGTTTAATGCCATATTAGTGGGAACTCATATACAAGTCCTCTAATTATATCCAGGTACATGCCTGCTGTAGCAATGAAATTACACCCAAAATTTAGTAACATTCTTTTGTGATCGCAGAATATACCATTAATTCGGAAAACAATGGAAAGTAAGTCATTTTTATTCATTTTAAAACATAAGTATTATTTAATGGAGAGTGGGGAGATTTTTTATGCATGGGAATGGCACGGGAGAAAGAACAGGCCAGCTTGAAGGAGAAGTGGACTGCTGGCTGCTGCGGCTGTAGTCATTAGCAGAGCAAAGGCAAGGAGCTTGTGGCATTGCAGACACATATGTAGGGCAGGTTTCAGAGTGGTAGCCGTGTTAGTCTGTATCAGCAAAAAGAATGAGGAGTACTTGTGGCACCTTAAAGACTAACAAATTTATTTGAGCATAAGCTTTCGTGGGCTAAAACCCACATCACCAGATGCATGCAGTGGAAAATACAGTAGGAAGATATATATATACACAGAGAACATGAAAAAATGGGTGTTGCCAAACTCACTATAACGAGAGTGATCAATTAAGGTGAAAAGAAAAGGAGTACTTGTGGCGCCTTAGAGACTAACAAATTAAGGTGAGCTATTATCAGCAGGAGAAAAAAAATCTTTTGTAGTGATAATCAGGATGGCTCATTTCCAACAGTTGACAAGCAGGTGAGAGTAACAGTGGGGGGGGGGGGAAATAAGCATGCGGAAATAGTTTTATTCTGTGTAATGACCCATCCACTCCCAGTCTTTATTCAAGCCTAATTTAATGGTGTCCAGTTTGCAAATGAATTCCAATTCAGCAGTCTCTCATTGGAGTCCGTTTTTGAAGTTTTTTTGTTGTAATATTGCAACTTTTAGGTCTGTAATTGAGTGACCAGGGAGATTGAAGTGTTCTCCAACTGGTTTTTGAATGTATGGCAGCATCGCATGGTGAATGAAAGGCATACTTTTTCATCTGTTTTGTCCTGTCTGACATATAGATTGTGAGCTCTCTGGATCAGGGACTGTCATCTTTGATATTTGTCTGTATAGTGCCTAGCACACTGTGGTCCTAATCCTTAACAGGGGGTTCTAGCTGGTACCATAATACAAATAAATAAAAAAATAATATAATGTCTACATCCATCACATAAATGTACACAGTATTTCAGGAGTTTTTACCATATTAAACATCTATCTGTAACACTCTAGTAACTAGAAGTTACTGTGGTTAAGCAGCAGTTTTTTTTAAGGAAGTTGATCATAACCATAAGCAATAGATACAATAATCTAAGCAAATCAGAGTACAAGAAACTCTACAGCTATTGAGACTTAACTGTACAGTGGTTGTTTCCCTTTTAGTACAACTCTTTGTGCTCTGCTTGCCTCCAAGGGGTTGATTTGTCTCTGTAGGCCTATTTCTCAATAACCACACAGTGTGTGAATTCTTGTACTGGGTGAAACCCCTTCCTGTCAGCTGTGCAGGTATTTGCATAATCCCACTGTAGTTATTTCTCAATGACCACACTGCACTGATCTTTGCTCTGATTTGCTGCTATAATCCCTTTCTGCCCAGACTGGTTCTTGTTCTCAGGATTTTCAAGCTGATTACCAGCAAAAATGACACCACCTTAGCTTTTTATTTCCTTCACATGAAACAGAAAAACATCACTACTAATATGAAAAGGAGAAAAAACAAAGAAATTCACCTTTTCCAAAAACAAATCAAAGAAACCACTCAAATGCAAAGAGAATGGGGGCTGAGAAAATGTTTAAAGGGAAACTGTTTTCTAAATATTTTTAAAAACCAAACCCCAATCCCTTTGGATCATTACCCTCCCTCAGGCTGCATTCTGCTCCCACTGAAGTCAATGGGAACTTTGCTACTGTTCAATGGGAGCAGTTTGGGGTCTTTCATCTCATTTCTATTCCTATCTCACCCTACAGGTCAGCAGGGCTCTTCTTGTTGGTTTACATAGTCTCTTCCTCCTAGTTTAATTCTTGAACAAAATGAAAACAAAATATACTACAATCTGAGAGGCAAAGAGCCTGGCTGGAACACAGAAAGAAAAGGGAGTGAGGAGAAGAAAAAAGATCTGCTGAAGGCTAAAGGGAGAGAAGGGGGATGGGTTGGAAGAAAGACTCAGACATCAGGATGATGACCATGATATGCATGCCTAGACGTGAATTATATAATTAGTACAGTATTCCAGCCCAGTTATTTATTTTGATATTAAATTAATTTTATGTCTTCACATTTTCATTTTCAACGTGAATATTTTTGAATTGATAATGCCTTATTTCATCTCAGAAATTATCATAGGGCTAGATGACATTTTTGCATATGGGTAGGACATGGCTATGACTTCTGGTCCCTAGACAAGTATGGGAAGAAGTTTGAGATTGTGAGAAAAGCACATTAACTGGATATTTCTCCTAAAATGATAATCAGTGAGACAGTTATTGTTAATATTAAAATGTTGTCCTTAAGCTTCAGAGTTAACAACCAAGTGGAATACATGGGGCAAATATTACCTAAGACTACAGTTTCAGCCTATATGCATATGCAGGCAGACATCAGTGTGTACTCCATTCCTGTTTTCAATGTTATCTCTGCAACCAGTATGGGCTAAAAATATGGGATTTTTTAAAAAGAAAATTTAGATTCTGAAGCTCAATTGTGCACAGCAAGTTCCGTAGCCATGAATTGCAGAATACACAAAGCTCTGAATATAATATTAGATCATAATAATAAACAAATGTTTAATTTAGACTAACTGCTTGCCATTTTATATGTTTTAGACCACAGTGAAAAGTTTAAGATAGTACTCTAAATTGGTGAACTTATATTTTTATTTCCACACAACCAATTTAAACATACAAAACTGAGTATTCTTAAATTTGTTGCAAAAATATTGCTTTTGGGTTGAAACTTTGTGCTGAATTTCAGTATTCATAAAATTCTTTCTGTTCAGTTATTTCCCCCTGAAAATAGACATTTATTACAGGAAAACTGGCAGAACTCGAACTATATGGCCCAGATTCCTTCCATTACCATTTCTTCTCTATTATAAAAATTATATAAAATGAGACATGGGCATTTGGTGCTTTTATTAGCTTAGCAAGATCTTTCTGTTCAGGGAGGACATTCTGTAAAAGTAGCATTTTTCTGAATAAGTAGACCACATAAAAGGCCAAACAAATACCACTGCAAATATACCCCGTTATGCTGTTCTTTTCATCAGAAATTCCCCTGACAGTCTAGCCTGAAATGAGAGACAAAAATATCTGAAAAGTTACTCAATAGTGCAAGACTGTTTGCAGATACATCAGATATTCTGAGTTAGCTCAGCACAAAGCAAAGATTAAGTATAAATCCCAGCAAGATGGCATTATTAGACTGTGACTATAGTTTGGGCCACAGAGGGAAGCTGTAAATACCAACAGTCCTTTGTAGATATGAAATAACAATGAGAACCTGAAAAAAATTGTGCAGTTACAGTGTTATAATAAGTGCAACAATATTTTACTACTTTAAAAATTTATGATTTTATTCGTTAGACAGGGGTTTAGTTACAGAGGCAACTGCAATTTAGTGGTTAGAGCAGAGGACTGGGCATAAGGGACTTGGGTTCAACTGACGATTCTATCAGTGACTCATTGTGTAACCTTGTACGAGTCACTTTTCTATGTGTCTCAGTTTATCCATATGTAAAATCAGAATAATGCTTACTTATTTTTGTAAAGGGCTTTGAGTTTCTATGAGAGAAGGTGCTGTAATAAGTGCATAGTCTAATTATTATTCATTAAGGAACATCCTTCTTATGAGTAAGGGTTGAATGTGGAATATAGATTATAAAATGTACAATAATTCATTTAAAGATATGCAACGAGGGTTATAATTTAAACACTGCACAAGCATACCACATAATAGGAGCATCTGAAGAGAGGACTCTGAATGCTGGAGAGGCTTAAGCAAGGCATAATTTTAAATGACAGTGGTGGATGGGAGGGATTGTCTCAGTATCATCGTAGGCCTGCTCGTTGTCCCCTTAAAATTCAGCCAGAAGTGACCTGCCATATTTGGCAGCATGAGCACTTTCTGGCCCCGAATCTCTCGCAGGAATCAGCTACGCCGTACTCTTGTGAAGCCTGGCTCACTGCACACCAGACCGAGTACCCACAGACTGCCACTGTCTATAGCAATGCTCCAGGGGCAGCTGTACACTAACGTGTGACTAGAAATTCTTCTAGCCTCTGAGTCATTCTCTCATTTTTCTAGGCCTGCTCCATTCTCTCTTTTGTTCTTGCCACTTTCCCAGCCAACAACAGTACAATGTTTGACGTGCTGCAGATAGATAGAGTTGAACTCTGAGACTGACAAAATCC